CTCTCTCTCTTTTCTCGTATCGATGAGATGATGGTGTGAATTTTTTTTATACATGTTAGTTCTTGCTTTTTAAATGAAACGTAACTTCCTTGAGAAATTCGCGGGTGGTTGGAGGATGCCAGTGGTAGGTCCTACTTCTTTGCTTTCCCTCTGTTGTTTCTGTCCGTCTGTCTTACTTTTTCCCTGCGCTAAATGACCATCATTGTGTCGATGTGGTTCTCTTTACTCCAACAAACAAACAAGGAAGAAATTCAAATGAGACAGATCATTGACCAGAGTTGTTTCCCTGTGTGTTTTTCCCCTCACAGTGGAGCGTCGCCGTCGAGACAAGATCAACAACTGGATTGTTCAGCTGTCCAAGCTGGTGCCAGACTGTGCCCAGGAGCCCATCAAGCAGACGCAGGCAGTGAGTCGTGGTTGTGGGCATAGTTTTTTTGTTTTTTAAAAATTCACTCGAACCTGAGCTATTTTCAGCCTAACGACCATTGTGGATGGTTGGCGGGTGCTGTGGTGTGGTTTGCTCCTTCTTTCCCATCAAACATCTATCGTCCTTTTCTCTCCTCCTTTTTTGTGTATGTTACTCTCTTGTAACACGTCTATTCTTCGGCACTTATATGACCTTATTGTGTTGCAAGTGCCGTTAAAAGGCTTACTAAAACAAATAACGACCATTGCAGCCTGACAGTTTTAGGGTGAAGAAAGCTATCATAATTTTTCTTTAAATTGCTACAAAGCTGTGCAAGTGAATTAAAGGTGCAGTCTAGCATGCATATTTACTGTGAACAGAATTTTTAGGTCCTGAATTTTTTCTTATACTTGTATTCTTTCTATTTAAAACAAGTATTGTACCTAGCAGAATTCATACACTTTTTCGAAAGATTTCTGCTAGCCATCAATTTTGCTATATGCATGCCAAATTATTTTTCTTTATTGAGGTTTTTTTTTTAGTGTAGATGCTTGCTGTCAATCATATTGATGGTGCAATGCTCTTGCCTACTGGTTTCTCTAAAAAAATTTAACACACAGTGAAAAAGGTCCTGATTTAATTGTATAGTGAATAATGACGCCAAAGTTTGCCTACAATACTTTTGTACAGTTTACAGTGCAGGTGAACCCCTGCTTTTTAGCATTCCAGATTCAAGAAACCAATGTCATCTTCAGTGTCCCTTAGGGTGATATGTTTGTTTTCCCTATGATAGTGCTACAGTTGGGAATTGTATTGGAATACTTATTTTATTTTTTTCTGCACACACACTTACTGTAAGCGTTTGCCTCCCTTCTCTCTCTCTCTCTCTCTCTCTCTCTCTCTCTCTCTCTCTGTCTCTCTCTCTCTCTCTCTCTCTCTCTCTCTCTCTCTCTCTCTCTTTCTCACAAACACACACACACACACACACAGACGCATACACACACACACACATGAGTGAAGGTGGTATCCTGAGCCCGTGATAATATATCTAAAAATGATATAAATGCATACCAAGGCGGTGTCACGCATTTGGCGAGTGAAACACCGCACGGCACCGCTCTAGGTGTGAATCAATGACCTCAACGTTACTCCGCTCTAGTTGCCTAGTGGTTAACACATTACACCCTAAGGGCCTGGACGGGAAGTCCATTGTTAGATCCTAAGCAAGGGGAAAGAACCCACCTCCCCTGAATACTAGCCTTTAAAAAACACATTTTAAAAATACTAAACAAATTCCAAAAATCCTGAAAAAAGAAAACTTAAAAAGAAAACTGAATGTAGTTTCAGAAAAATATAACTTTATGTATGCGCAAACTGTTGGCAATGTTCTCACTTTAGTTCAATCGGGGTGTCCGACCCGTCACTCTCACTCTCAGCCTCGCGGTCGGGCCCTAGATCTAAATTCTATAATTTCTCCGTCTGATAAATCGGAATCGCCCCAAACTCTTCCTACAACGTTTTCACCAAAATCTGAGCCATCTGATTTGTCACATGCTCGTTTTTGCTCAAATCCATTGTTATTTCCGTTTTCGAACTCAATTGTGTCGCTTTTCAACAAGTCGAGGCACTTTCGAAGTGTCGGTAACGCGACCGCACTTCGATCAGCTCTAATACTAAAACTACTAGCCGGAAAAATTTCGTTTCGGTATCAAACGAAAGAAGAAACTTTTTGCTATACTATGCAAATCAAAATCCCGGCCCCAGAGTCTCGTCAAGGCGAGACTTTCGTTTCTAAAGACGCTGGGTCGGCGCGGGCGGTTCCGGGCGAGTCAGGGTGTAATGTGTTAAACAAACAAACAAAAATGTCCAGAATCTAAAAAAAAGTCCTCTCCCCGACAGAGTAAAGGCGGTATCCTGTCCAAGGCCTGCGAGTACATCCAGGAGCTGCGCACCACCAACAACCGGCTGGCCGAGAGCCTCAAGGACTCGGAGCGCCTCAACGTGGACAACGAGTTGCTACGGCAACAGTGTGAGGAGCTGAAGCAGGAAAATGCTGTCCTGCGCTCACAGCTGCAGCAACACGGCATTGTGATAGACATGGGCCCTACTGCTTCCTAGCTGTGACATGGCTGGGGGGGGGGGGGGGGGGGGAGAGACACGTTTGTGTGAGAGAGTGAGAGGAGCGGAGGTTTGCAATCTGCTATGGAATTAGAGAATTGTAAGTGAGGTGTTTGATGGATATGTTACAAAATGAAGGGGAAGTGGAGGGTGGATGTTTAGAAGTTCTGACAAGCAAGAGGGTATGGTGTTTGGAAGATGTTGCATTGTTTAGGGGTGGGATCATATTGAGTTGTTCCGTGGAGGAGTCGCAATGAAATAAGAGACTTCAAGATGCTAGGGGGAGGGGAGACAGACAGCAGTGGATTGACAGTACATGCTAGGTTTGAATGTTGAATTTATGTTAGGATTTTATAATGGCATTTCTTACAAATCGTTTGTTTATTTGTACATTGTAATTGAATTCATTTAGTGTTTTTTGTAAGCAATGAGCCCCCACCGTGTTGTGCTCAGGATGAAACAGCAAAGCAGAAAGAAAGAGAAGACGTGCACTCACAAATGCTTTTTCAATTTGGGACATAGATCAGATGTGACATGGAGTTTTTATTGCTCTCTTTTTCAGCTCAGTTTGTTCTCATGGGCAGAGGGGGCTGTGGGTTTAATGCAGTACCTCAGGGTCAGCATTTTGTTACACAAAATTCTGGGTCATGGCACATAAGTAAATGGGTGGGGGACAGGTTCTTGGACCCCCATTTTGGTTTATATTATAATGAGAGTTGATTATTCTTGCTCACATACTTTACATAAATGGCGTAGTATTTTCTATATATATATATATATAGATGTGTATGTGATGTATATTTTTTACTAACCAGCGGATTGTACCCACCAATACAATGTCAGAGCTGTGTAAATGCTTGCTAAATTGTATCATTGAGGGATTAGTAGGAAAGGTTTTTACACACACACCCCCACGTAATTTGTGGTTGGTTGAGGACTAGGGAGCGGGGTTCGTCACTGGTAGGTCTTTACTTTTTTTTTTCTCTCCTCTGTTGTTTCTTTCTGTTCATTTTGCATGTGGCGGTTATGGTGTTAATGTGCTTTTTGACAATTTTTTTTACTCGGAAAGTAGAGGGTTTTTGTTCATTTGGAAAAGGTCCATGTCCCCTTCAGGCTTTCTTTCAGTACTCAACAGGGATTTTTTTAAAGATTTTTTTTTAGCATGAAAGTTTTAAACAAACATAAACCACAGTTACCAAATGAACTCTCCACTCATGTGAGGCCATGGTTAGATTAAGAATGTGTTCTGATTTGTTACGATAATTTGTGCTCTGTGAGATAAAGTCATGCACCAGTCACAGATGATGCCCTATATTTGGCAGTGGTGCTCATCTTCCTCGGATCCGCGGAATTCCAGATTTTTTAGCCTTGACTTACTCTTGCTCTTACTAGAGTGTACTTTCCTTTCTTATAGTCGTTTTACAAGAGATTTGGAGGATGTTTCAGTTTGGTCGTGGCACCAATGATTTTCTTCCTTTTTGACTTTTTGTCATTAGCATCTCTGATTTAGATCCAGACAGTTCAGATGGCAGACAGCCCCAACAAATTCTCACAAAACTTCTCAGTTGGATTTATCAAGTCAACGTGTATTTAAGGCAAATAAAGAATGATTGTAAGCCCTGTTTGTCTCGAAACTGCACAGAAGTCACCTTAAAAACTCCAATCAAAAGATGTTGCTGATAGTTGATGTATGTGTTCTAAACTTTGCTTGGTATATCCCGAAAAGGGACAATGTGCAAAGTGAGTTTCCCTTTGAGAAGGAGGGGCTTGTTAGATAGATTCTCCTGAGAGAGAGAGAAGGAGGGGCTTGTTAGATAGATTCTCCTGAGAGAGAGAGAAGGAGGGGCTTGTTAGATAGATTCTCCTGAGAGAGAGAGAAGGAGGGGCTTGTTAGATAGATTCTCCTGAGAGAGAGAAAGAGAGCGGGACTCTTTCCGTAACCGAATCATGGGGAAAGTAGAAGCCATCCCACCTTCATTTGTATGGATAATCTGCTTCATCAAGTTGTTATTTCTCTAGCCAATTTATTCTTAATATCATTATAACTTGTTCACTTTCGTCTGACTGCGGTTAAAACGAGATAAAATCAAATCTCTCTGAGTGAAAATATGGGACATACTATAAGTCAGGGGAGCACTTTTCGTTTCATTTTTGCGTTTCGAGGGGGGACCAAAAAAAAGCGCTGAAATTACTAAAAATCATCTCTCTGTGCTATATGTTCTTTCATATCCACCAACAGGAAGTCTATTCTATTATTTCGAAAACATGGATCGGCCGAGATTTTCATGTCTTTTCATTACTGTATTGGAATAGGTAGCGAGCCGACCAAGGCATATTTTGCGGCTTTTGGTCCAGTGAGGCCACATTCGCAAGCCGCATTTTGTTGGGAAAGTGTAAAGAAAACAAACTATAGTATCATTTGTTTTTGCAGCATTGACATGAACAACTTCACTGAGAGCTTTTACGGTCTCAGAAATGTCATTGCATTATTTCTAGTTGGGGACAAATTATGCTTTGGGGATGGCGGTGCTTCTGTATATATTTATAAGTACATAAAATAGATTATTTTTCCAGATTGTATATTTTTTGTTGATACGATTACACTATCGATGCATTCTGAGGGAAAATGCGCATATATGAACAACTCAGCTGTGATAAGCTGTTCATTGCATTGTGTGTGTGTCTGCATGCGTAGGTGTGTGTGTGTACAGAGGCCTGCTGCTGACAGTCTTGTGCTGCTAGAAGATTTACAGTAAAGTGTCTGTGCATGTGTGTGTGTGCGTACGGTAGAGCTGTGCCCATTCGACTTAACTATTCGACATTCATGATTTTTGCACTATTCACAGCTATTTGAAACATGGCAGAACCCTTCGAATGCCAGGTGATTTTTTAGGAACTGATAAATGGATTTTCGTCTCATTTTTCTCTAACGTAGTAAAATTGGAGCATATTATATCTAAAATCATTGAGATAAATATACAGAAATGCTCTTTATTTGATGGTACGATACAGAGTGATAAGAGGAGCCGACAAGAGTTATAAAACTTTCCTCTAGAGAATATCCCTTACTATTCAATATACAATGTATTCACGCGTCACACCATGGATAGCTCAAGCAAGGGCACTTGACTCTTGAAGTGCTCTGTGAATAGATAGCAAATGTTGAATAGTGGAAATTATGTCTTGGCTTATCATAAGAAAAAACAATACGACTGTGCTTCGAATAGCGGAAGTTAGGTCTGGGCCTATCATATTTAAGAAAAAACAATTCAATGACGCTTCTAATAGCGCAAGTTATTGCTGGGCTTATTATATATATACAAGACATCTTTCCAGCCTACCGTCGGATACCCGTTCCCACTTCGACGAAGGGAGGAAAAGTCATACAACATACCTCTACCAAGGACATAATTTCGGCCCCATGGCAGGGTTCAAACCCATGACCCTTTAGTCACAAAGCACAAACGGCACTTTTGTCGTGCAAACTACTCCAATATCAGTCTTGAATTCTTTACTCCAAATTATACTTCTAGGATATAGAGAGATCTAGATGTAGAGCGTCTTGCTCTAAAAAACTACGCCCCAAATGAAATACGCGCCAAAATTTTGAAAACTTCAATACAACGAAGTAAACATTTTGCGGGTCTAAACGAACACGTGTTGAGAACATGACTGTACCAAATGTATCTAGAAAAAGTCCATAAAATGAAGTTTGGCCTGAAGTATCCATCGACAGTACACATCCAAACAGAGTTGGATATCGAGATTCTAGTTCTGGAAGTGGAAGAAGCAGCTGTCTCACATGCACAAAGAAGCACAATATGAAACTGAAGTAGTCCCTAGTAAAATATGAAATTGTTAATGGCAGAGTGAAAACATCTAAGAGCTTCGATTTACAGGAAAAACCCGTCAAACCTGAGAAATCAAAAGGTAGTTTCCGAACTTTGAAAATATGCCCACGTAACGCTTTGGGACAATTTTTGTCTGAATCATATTTTTGCAGATTTTATGGGCACCTGTGTAAAAAGTTTTTATTGTCCCCATAAACTGGTTTAGCTCCATTATGATGATAATGATAAGGAGAGAAAAAAACATTGGATGGCGCTGTGAATAGTTAACGAATGTTGAATAGTGGAAGATAGGTCTGGGCTTTCTTTATCTGATATCGTATATAACAAAAAAATTCAATGGAGGTATTCGAATTGCATAAAATGAGCTCATGCTTCGAAGCTTCGATGAATTTCTGTTTCCTCAAAATGGCACAGCACTAGCGTACGGAGGCCTGCTGGTGACAGTCTTGTGCTCAAAGATGTACAGTGGGGTATCTGTGAACTGAGGAACACTGGATGCTAGAGCCTTCAGCTTGTGAAAGAAAACTGGCTTCCTTTTGATCTGATCTCTGTGTGTGTGTGTTACTTGTGTTTGAGTAAGACTAAAAGTTTGTGCAATGGAGTCTTTCGTGGGTGATTGGAGGTTGCAGACCGATAGGTCACGACTTTTCTTTCTCTGCGTTTTTTTCTGTCTGTCTGTCCTGCTCTTTCCTTGCACTAAATGACCGTTTTTGTGTCGATGTGCGCTTCTCCAGCTGCAAACTTAAGAATTTTTGTATGTTTGTTTATAAATTTGTGGTAATACACTGTACATGAGTGTGTATGTTAGTAGAACGTTGAGTGTAAATTATGATGTGTACTTGTGGCCCTTGGAATGTAGCTTGCTAAATAATTCATGTTGTGCCCTCTTACATTTTGATTCCTTGACCAGTGGCGACTGTGTCTGTGTAGTGATTAATTAGTATGAAGTGTGATGGCACGAGTGGAGTCGACTGATGTGACTGTGGTGTGTGTGCTCGGGACGTGTTCCAGCTGACTGGTAGAGACCATTCACAAATTTAATTTGGCCAAAACGACCCCCTTCCCCCTTGCCATCTTCTGTCATCTTACCCAGGAACACACCAACCACCACCACCCCCGTTGATGTCAACCAAAATGTACATGTGCATTTAGATAGAACCTGTCCAGGATGCATTTTATTTTCGTGCCCATTTTCACTCATATTGTAGTTTTAATGAAGCGTCTAGCAGATAGTGGCTCGGGATAGACTCGGGTGGCGTCGACTGCTCTCCCCCTTATGTACCTGGCGGTATAAGGAGAGACTAAGTAAGTCTAGCAGTCTGTGTTATGGGGAGGTGATTGTTAATTTTAGTTTTTAGCCCCCCCCCCAAAAAAAAAAAATTGTCCGATTTAACTGTTAATTTTAGGCCAAGAAAATTTGGTCTCTAATATTTTTTGTTCCTTTCTTTCCGTATCTATTTTCCCCAATTTTTAGAGCATCAGGGTTGGCGTCAACTTTGTAAGTACACCCCCCCCCCCCAATGTCAACTTTAGTCAACTTTCACTAACCTTCTATTCCCCCCCCCCCCTTCTGAGCTGATGTCATTTGTGAACGGTCCCTACCGTGACAGTCTGTGTGTGTAGATAGTCTAATGTTTGACTGTGTGAGGTGTGCCTATGGGTGACGTAAGTGGCCCCCTGATCCGTGTACAGGAGAGAGAGAGAGAGGGGGACAAATTAAATTACTGCTGTTTGCTGCTATGATAATGTGGCAGTTTCAAAAGCCTATTGTTGATGTTTGTGCTATGAAATAAATCATTCTATTCCATGCTATGCACAGCAACTTTCTGGAGTTTCCTTAGTTATTTATGAGAATTTTATTAGTCCTGGTCATTCTGCAATCACCCAGCAAGTGGTTGGAGGGCACTACTGGTAGGTCCTACTTCTTTACTTTCCATCTTTTGTTTCTGTATGTCTAACTTACTTTTTCCCAGCACCAAATGACCATTAATGTGCCAATGTTCTTCTCTTTGCTCACACTTGTCAAACTCATACAGACAATCGCCCAGCTAATCCAATTTCCGGGGCTTCCCAAATAAAGCTGTTATTCGAATAAAGACATCATCAAGGGGCATGCTAAAATATAGTGTTGTTATGGGTAAGTACCGGTAACGTTAATTCCTTCTCAATTTTTAACTACTGAAAAATAACAAAAACGTTTGTCACGGTTCTGATGTAGATTCCAGGTGCTTTCTTTGTCTTCAGTTTTGTCCAAATTTCAGAGAATGACTTGCATGCTTTATGAATTAATGCTTAAGATAGAAACAATCCCCGTACAGTAGGCTGCTCCTAAAATAAGTTGTGAACCCCTGGCAGTGTATTAAATAGTAGTATAATTACCCATGCAGACACCGATATTCTGAAACATTCTAAGATTCCTCAGTCCTGGAGATCCTTCAAGGCTTTCTAAGTACGCAGAAAGACTGAGATACCCAACAGAAATCCTCCCCACAAGGGAATCGTGAAGCGCCTAACATGTAGGCTACGCCATAGTTGCCAAATAGAAAGTTCACCAAAGAAAATCGATTCATACAAAAGTACTAACGACAATAATTGTGTTGCATCGGCTGTTTTTATTGTAACTCCGTTTTCACATCTGACCTAATTTCCCGATTGCACTGTTTTTCGAAGCAGAAAGAAAAATAAATAAACAGACACAAAAAAATAAATGGTATCGTGGTAAAATCAAGTTCTTGTCTGTTACTGAAATCGGAGAAAACAATATTTTTCTCATTGGGCAATTTTCACCAAAAATGTTTTTTCTATTTTGGCTCAACACCGCATGCGCATTTAAAAACGCATTTCAGTGTGGATTTTTGCGGGTGGTTGGAGGACACCACTGGTAGGTCCCATTTATTTACTTTCCCTCTATTGTGTATGTCTGTCTTGCTTTTTTGCAAGCACTTAATGACCAATATGTGTTGATGTTCTTATCTGTACTCAAACAAACAAACGTGTGGATTTTTAATGAAAAACGTCGATGAAAGACACAACAAAATGCTGTTTCCAAGGACAATCAAGCTTTGGAAGTCCCCAAACTTTGGTGACTATTCTCTCGCTAATTTTACCTCTGCCACCAGACTACCCCCACCTCCTTACTCGAAAATATCTTATCTCGATTTCTTTTCAACCAAGATAGAGGTTAGAAGTATGGGGGGGGGGGGTGTCATCAAAGGGGAGACAAATGAACCAGTTTTAGGATGATACTTGTACGTACCAATAACTTCGTATGCCTAGACATTTAAAAAAATGACGAGCACTTGATTCCACCGTGTCGTGACGTAAATAACACAGGAATATTTCATTTTCACGAATAACCTTTCTGCAGCAAACCAGGAAAGCTCCAGAAATTATCTGCATTTGAATCCAAACGTTTTATTTTTCGATGCATTAATAAAAGTAAACCCGCATTATTACTTCAACAAGAAGCTCCCCATCCCTTACACTACACAACAGTTTAATATGTTGTTGTTTCATCAGACGACAGAGAAGAAGACAAGCGCCTGTGTCGTCCCTCTTCTCTTATACAGAGTCGTCAATCTCGCACAAGAACCTGGCCACGAGTCGTGTACAGCTGACCACCACTACGTCAAAGCGGCTAGGGGAGCGTTTGACCAGCGCGTTGCACTCTCTCGTCTCTGGAGGGTAATACGTAGGAGGATCATTTCCGCTGCTGCTGCTGCTGCTGCTGCTGTTACTTCCGGTACTATAGCCGCCCCCAGTGTTCAGATTTTCTCCCCCGATGTGGATCCGTTCAGTTGCGAACACATAAGGCTCTAGATTCAAGACAGAACAACAGGCCGCGTTTGGTAGATTAGAAGAAGTTTGAGAGGAGGTAATGGCAAGTTTGATGATATAACAATGAAATGATGGCAGTGAAGCCCCACAACCACCCACGTTATCGTGTCGATATGTTTTTCTTTACTCTAGCCAAAGATGTTATAAATACAGCCGAAAGTGTTTAATCATAAAGACGGTCACCCATTGTCGAGGAGGAAAGTGGGCGTATTAGATAGAACGCCTTACATGACACAGTGTCATTATAAATATAATGTAAAAAATACACAAAGGAGGAAATGAGAAGTGGCCATTTGTACAGGTGATTTTCTTATACAAGTGGCCGTTAGAGCAGGTTTGACCACAGTACTATTTATAACCTCTTTGACTTATTTATAACCTCTTTGACTCAAACAAACAAATTGAAATATTCCCAGACCAGGGACATTTCGTCCATAGAGCACGATCGTTCAGTGCTGCCCAATAAATGTTTAAAATGTTCTACATGTATTCTGTAAAGTGCTCACAAACAGAAAATAAAAGAAGCCCGCAACCAGCACTAGCCAAATGTTTTATCAATACAAGATCCTCGCTGGCGCCTTAACGGCCCATAGTGCCGTAAAACATCTACTATGTTAGGCCGAAGTCCACGCGCTTTAACTTAACATAGCTTATGAACTGAACACTCAGTAATAACCCTTTCACCACTCCACTAAAACACCGTCTGTTGAGTTGTGCCTTTGAATAGTGTTTTAGTGGAGTGGTGACAAGGTTATTAGATCTACTGAGTGTTCAGTTCCTGTGCAAGATGAATGGAATTGATTTTTAGCTAACAAAATTTAATAATATTATGAGTTTTAGGAACCAACGCGACAAATAAAAAGAATGAAGGTAAAAGCATTAGATCATCACCAACCCAAAGATATTAAAAGTATACCCCCCCCCCCCCCCCCATTTATTATTACCTTGATTATCTTCCACCTGCCATAGCTTAATTGTGCACTCGCACATTTTAGCCCCAGAAGCCGCCCCTATATCCCAGATCACGCGTCTGTCTTTGTCCGACAGTGTGTATTGCCTGCTTTGGTTTGTGTGTCCGATTTTCCGCCCATTTCTCCGTCAATTCCTAACCCAGTGGGTATGTTAATCCCATTGTTTAGGTTATATATTCTGTCTATCTGAATACATGTAATAATTATCGTACCTGCATTTGTAAGTGCTCAATCTAGCATCTGCGTTTGTTGCCATTTTTTTCTCTACAAAAGTTGCTACAAAAAGTGGCAAAAGTTGCCCAAAAAGTTGCCATTAATTTTCAGGCTTTCAACTTTCTGTGACGACGTAGCCTATATATAGCAATATATTGATAGAGGTAACTTCATCTAAAGCGCAAGAATTTCTTGTGCTCTGTTTTAAGCATCCTGAATATCATTTGTAGTCACCCAGTGTATACAATCGTGAAAAATAAAGGTTTCACAATAGAATGAAATCAAAATTAGAACAGTCCGGATAAATAATCTAAAAAATTAACAAATTATGGCGCTTGTCCACCTTTCCGAAGTTTGGCTGTTTAAACCATAAACATGTGCAATTCAAGAAAAAGTAGGCCTACAAGATATTACATGTAAATTATGGAATCACACACGGTTGGGGCGTGCCAGTGTCAGTATTCGGTTTAGGTAGAGACAAGCTCTAATGTAACACATTTATATTTTAAAAGGGTAGGAAGAGCTTCAAATTAAATGACAGCACGCTGTATAAACACACACACACACACACACACACACACACACACACACACACACACACACACACACACACACACACACACACACACACACACACAAGAAAAACAAATCATCAGAACAATATTTAGAAAAATTCACACACCAACAAATTACAACACAACAAAGAGGGAAAAATAAAAGACAAACAGCGATATAAATAGAATGTAACGTAATGTACTTATTTATATTCTCTGCATGAAAATAGATACACGTGGACATCTTTACACTTATCAAAACACAAGTCTAATATGTTATGAAGTTGCTTTGTTGTTTTGTCTTTTTTTGAAAAATGCAAAAATCGCAGCCGCGATTCGCGGACGAAAAAATGTCGAAAACCGCGACAAACGCAGATGCTAGTTCTATACCGGTACTATAAATTATATGATAAGACAAGAATGCCAGAGAAAGATTGCCTGATCAGGCGCGGCCCTGGAGACCAAATGGAAAAAGAAGAAATGGTAGACCAACCGGCAGCTAAATAAGTACAGTGTAGTGTAGTAGTAGGAGTCATAATATGAGCGCGGGGGACACATTAAACATTTTAAGTTGGTAGGGAATTCTGAAATTTGTACGGGTGGCGGCCGATGCCTACTCTTATCGATTTTGGACTACAGTACAAAGGGATCTTTAACGTGCGCAACTTGCACACGGAACCTCCGAGATTTTTCACCCTTTTCCGAAAAAGCTAGGTGTAGATCTACCATATTAAGATCATGGGTGTAGCTGAAAGACAGCAGTTAAAAGGAGCCGGGGAGTAGCAGTAGAAATACCACAGGAAGAGGAGCCCAGAGAAGGGGGCAAAGGAGGTGAGGGGGTGGGGGCAGAAAGTGGAGACGAAAGCTGACGGCAGAGCATTGTCAGAGAGCGGGAATGAAGGTGAAAGGAGACAATTTTAGAGAAGAAAAATTTCCGTCGCTTTCCGAATTCGAACTGGGGACCTAATTGAGGTTAAGGTGTCTGCCTCTCATTCAATAGGACCTATTGAATGAGAGGCAGACACCTTAACCTCAAGGCCACGAGAGCCCACGCCCCCTTTTTATGTACTCACCAATCTGCTTGATGATGAACGCACGCTCTCCGTCTGTGTCAAACTCACTGAGGAAGCCGTTGTTGGATATCTTGGAGCAAGCATACTGTGGGTAGAGGCAAAGGGTAGAGATAGTCACATACACATACACACGTGCACACACACACACACACACACACACACACACACACACACACACACACACACACACACACACACACACACACACACACACACACACACAAATATACACACATATACATACA